CAATGAACAAACAACTTTCTGAGTTTGTGAAGCAGCTCCCAAAGGTGGCACTGTCAGAGGTACTCTCAGAACAAGCCAAAAAGCCTGTGAGACTCTACAGCCTGCCTAACTTCACCCAGAAATCACCTGTCTTCTCAGTGTATGCAGGGCCCCATCTCCTCTGGGTTCAAATTACCCTTGGACTCTTCCAAACCCTGGGGAGACTCCCTATTGCACAATAATTAATCTCCTTAACAAGGACGCCTGCCCCACCTCACCTTCTTTGCCCTGTCACTCTATCTGTTATTCTGGGCAGCAACAAAGACATGCTTCAGAGAGAGGGAAACAATCCCAAAAGTTTGTTTATGAAAGAGAATATAAACCACACAGGAAAGATGCCCCTGGGTCTCAAAGGCAGAAACTCACTCATTTTGAGTTAAATAAGCCGGATTCATGCCTTTGCTGACTATCTGAGCTCCTAGAAGACCGATCACCTTCCTGAGACTTATTGATCTTAATTCTTCAAACAAACAAAAAAACTTACTGCCATCAAGTGCATGCTGACTCATAGCAGCCCTATAGGACAGGGTGGACCTGCCCCTGTGAGTTTCTAGCCTGTAACTCTGCACAGGAGCAGAAAGCCGGTCTTTCTCATGGAGTGACTAGTGGTCTTGAATGGCAGTTAGCAGCCCACCTCATACCCACTATGCCACTTCACCCCCAGGGCTTCTATGCTCTAAAAGAGAAGTGCTCACAGTGTGCTCCACTTCATGGCCGTGTTGTGAAAAGTAAGATGGGCATGAACAGTTCTTTCATTGTAAAGAGCTAGTATTGAGGGAGGGCATGAGCAGAGGCCTGAAGTCCATCCACTATCTCAATGTATTGCCATATTGTTCATAGTCCAATACCTCTATTGTTATGAATTAATGTACAAATGTGTACACCTATGCTTATACCTCTATCTATAGCTTTACTTCCTAGATCATTCCTGTTCCTTTTAACTTCCTCCTGCCCCACTATCATGCTCACCCTGCTTCCACCTCTTAGTACTGCCTCTCAGCTAGATTGCTGTTGCAAACTGGCCTTCTGTGATGCTCACCCTCCTGGCACAATCACTGAAGACAAAATGGGTGCATAAGCAAATGTGGTGAAGAAAGCAGATGGTGCCCAGCTATTAAAAGACATAGCATCTAGGGTCTTAAAGGCTTGAAGTTAAACAAGTGACCATCAAGCAGAAAAGCAACAAGCCTACATGGAAGAAGCACACCAGCCGGTGTGATCATGAAGTGTCATCGGGACCGGGTAACAGGCATCAAAAGACCCATAACAAATAAACAAAAAAACATATTATTGACAATGAGGTGGGTCAAGCAGAGACTCAAAGCTCATCTGTAGACAATGGGGCATCCCTACACACACAGAGGGGTCACAGAACCAGGGTACAGTAAAGCACCGATGAAACACAATATTCCTATGAGTTCTTAAGGCTTCTTCATCCCCCCACTATCATGACTCCATTGCTGCTCTCACTTCGAACTTGGCCAGAGGATGTACACAGCTACAGATAAGAGATAAGAGCTCGTGACACACAGAATCCAGGAACAGGAATGGGAGTAACAATATCAGAAGGGTAGGGGAAAGTGCAGAGAGGAGGGGAGGAAGAGGGAACCAATCACAATGATCGACACATAACCACACACACACTCTCCAGGGGGAAAAACAACAGAAACCATGGGGGAAGGGACAGTGGTCGGTGTGGGATATGAAAATAATAATTTAATATATCAAGGCATCATGAGGAGGGCAGAAGGAGGGGCTGACCAAGGGCTCAGAGAAAGCAAATGTCTAGAAAATAATGATGGCAACATAGGTACAAATATGCTTGATACGGTTGATGTATGGATTGTTATAAGAGCTGTAAGAGCCCCCAATAAAACAATCTTTTAATTTTAAAAAATGTAAAATGCTTGTGAACGTGGCTGAAGGATAGAAATGATGGTGATTCATATATCCTTTATCGTCTTATTGTGGTCCCAGACAGTTCAGGTAAAAAATTCTGTGAGACTTCAACTTTGTTATGTAAGCATCTAGACTCATCGTCTGCGTTAATCCCGGGTGAGCAGACCTCATCCGCGTGCTTCACGCTAAGCACTAAGGGCATAGAACTCTGTCCGTGAGTTGATCAGCAACAATGCAAAGCTTGAACGTAGTGCTGGGAATAAGATGTTGGTAGAGAGCTCATTGTCGCCTACACTCTCTTCTAAGTACCTGATCTCGTGGCTATCTCATGGCAGGGGTGGGAGGTGGTTCTTGAGAAGGACAAATTCTCGACGCTGGGTTCTACTGCCCTTGAAACCTCCCTCCTGGTTTGGGCATTGAAATGGCCTATACTCATCCTCTGGGGAATCCT